CCTCCGAGTACGAGTACTTGTACCTCCGAGTACGAGTACTTGTACCTACGAGTACTTGTACCTCTGAGTATGAGTACTTCTACCTCCGAGTATGAGTACGAGTTCTTGTACCTCCGAGTATGAGTACGAGTACTTGTACCTCCGAGTGTGAGTAATTGTACCTCCGAGCATGAGTACTTGTACCTCCGAGCATGAATACGGGTAATTCTAATTACGAGTACAAGTACAAACTCTGCTGAAATGCCCAAAACACTTGCTCAAAAACAAAGGGTTACCAGCCAAAACTCTGGGTGACAGTCATGTCCAACCAAAAAACATGTAAATAACATTCCAAAAAAAATTACACAATGAAGTTATGATTGGTACAATGTACATGCACGACTCCAACTCGTGTTATTTTATGCACTCACAACGGGTGAAGTCTGCTTTCCAGACTTAATATGCCTATGTCCTTGTTTTCCTATATTCTAGATTCTATGTCAGGTCCGGGAACTAGGCTAACTACAACTAAACTGAGTGTTACTAGTCTTGGACACTGCGGTACGTGTACTTTACAAGGCCATACACAGTGGCAGTGCGCCTTCCGGCCGCTACGTCTGGTGATGTTCGTGTCGCCGAATAAACAGGAGGGTCTTGGAACCAAGACTAGGAATACATTGGCGTTCCACGCCGCGTTCGTAAATTGGCTAAGATGGCAAATGCGTAGGCCTTGTGTTTATCAGACTGTACCGAATATCGGTCTGCAAGAATTGGTTTTCTTGTATCGTTGTACAATGGCTGTTGCGGGATTTAAAGGATTTTTCATCGAATACTGTTAATCGAGTACGAGAACCTCGATGCTTGAGTACAATTTTATTCCGAATATTTTGCAGCTCGAGTACAAGAACTGTTGTTCGAGTACGAGTACTTGGATATTCGAGTACAAGTATAAGACTAGAGTAATCTGAAAATTGTACTCGAGTAGTACTCGAGTACTAGTACTGAGTACGAGTACTACAACACTGGAGAAGGGCAGTTCAAGGAAAGGAAATCCCAACGAACGAAACCCTGTGTAGACAGGGCTTGGGAGTGAACATTGAGGAGACCAGTCACTAACAACGGTGGTACACAGACCCGGATCCAGACCCGATTTTTTTTTTTGGGGGGGAGCAAAACAAGTAAGCAACGAACAATTTCACGAACAAAATGGCTCTGTCCTTACAAAACAACCTCCAGTTTAGACACTTAATATTTTCACTCTGATTATTATTTTTTTTTAAATCCTCATCGTTTTTTATTGGACGGCATGGCCCCCATTGCCTCCCACCCTCCCCGCTCCTGGATTGGCCCTAGGACTCAAACACCTATAATTCAGTCTGCTTCCCAAAACCAAAAATACCGATTATTTCAAGAGATGCCTTAGGTCCACTAGCCGCCATGGTCACTTTGACTAAAGCCGTTTTTGAAATTTTGGAAATCGTTCAAACGTTTCGTTCAGTTTCACTTAGGCTGAGTTCGAGCGGCTTGTTCTCGTATGTTCACAAACAGCTCGATTTGTTGTCGTGGGTCGGCCGCTCGAACGCCGGGAACAAACAACCAGTTATTGCTGGCAGCTGGTGACAAGCAACATGCAACATGGCGGCGGCCATTTACGTTATTTGAGATTGTTTGGATTGGCTGAATTCTTTTCTATTTAAACTGGAACATTCATTTCTGTGTTAGGAAAATAATTAATGTTAATTTTTAAAACTTCCCATTGTTTGTGGCTTACGAAGCAATCTCTCTACTTTTTCAGGTGTTCAGAAATCAAAATATCCCGAATTTTTCCGTGTGTTACTGTAAAACCTTGCCGAGGAGGTAGTGTGTGATCCTGTTCCAAGAACAGTGTTCTTGAGTCGTGTTCCCGCCGTTCAAGCGCGAGAACAAGAAACCCGTGTCAAGAACAGGCCGCCCGAAGTCGACCTTCTTGATTCAGTCGGGTGTCATCTCAGCTATGGTACCCCACTGTTGTTTTGAATAGGAGCTTTCCGTCTATGGGTGCACTGAACCCATTCAAGCTCTATTGAAAATAGTGTAAAATCAACCAAGTTTGGAGCCCCATGGCAGGCAACTGAAGTCACTGAGGCCTCTTAAACAAAAAAACAATGTGTTGTTTGGTCCTTCAGGTTTCATTTGATTTTCATTTTTTAGTAGGTTAACCAATGAATTTTTTAATTATCCGCCCAAAACAAACTCACCCCCAAAAGGTGAATGTTGCGAAGCCTTCCCAGCGGCCATTTTTCAAATGACTTCCTCGGGCTCTTCTGACTAATTTTCAATCCCATTTTTGTCTGCTTTGCCCCCAGATGGGTGCCCCTGAATC